ATGCCTGACATGAATCGTTACCGCTTCCGTCTGAGAAGCCCAATTGATCAACCCCCCTAGTCCAAAAGACCCCATGTAAAATTATAGCCTCATTAGAAAGAAATGTAAATGGAAAAGCTACATTCTCAGCAATGGTGAGGGGTCACCATTTTCAATTTATTATTGATACTAAAGCCTCAATCAACATAATCAATGACAAAAATCCAGAATTATCCCCTTTATCATCAGGACAACCCGAAGTGTTAGCAACCTTTGCAAGTAACCAGATCACAACTGTATTATCAAAACCAGTGGTGATAAAAATAGAAGACTTAAAAAGGAAATGTTTGCACTAGCAAATCTAAAAGAACCTTATAACTTACTGGGAATAAACTTTCTAAGGAAACATGGATACATTATGGATCTGACCAGTTACTTGGTATGGTTTCTGCACAAAACAAATTCCTACCCCCACAAAAAATGCTCCTTTAAGATCTCAAATATATAAGCGCCCATGGCAAGCTTTTCAAAATGATTTTGTGGGATCTTTACCAAAAACTCCAAGGGAAAACCAAAACCTTTTGGTTATTATTAACTCAAGTGGGTAAAAGCATTTCCTTTAAAAGCAAATACTGTTGTAGCTACTGCAAAATTCTTGACTGAACAAATATTTTCTCGCTGGGGACTCCCTGCTGGGGTAGAGTCAGACAGAGGAACACATTTGACTGAACAAGTGTTTCCAAAATGCCTACAATTATTGGAAGTGCAACAAAAATTGCATATTCCATATAGACCTCAATCATCAGGGATGGCAAAGCAAACAAATCGCACCATCAAACTTATGCTGCGAAAACTGGTAGATGCCAGTAAATGGAACGGGAACACCCTAATTCCTCTCATTTTAATGGCCGTCAGGGCAACTCCAGCTGCCTCCACAGATCACACACCCTTTGAGGTGATAACTAAACAAACTATGCGAATGCCAGAGCATCTTTTGTGGTATACCAGTGACTCAGAGGGAGAGGAAATAAAATTAAAAGCCTACCTGGAAGCATTACAAAAACATTTAGATCAAGCAAGATTGGATTGCGGCTGTCTGTGCCAGCAGCACTGTGCAACGAAATGGGACGTCGGTCAGGTCCCACCGTGTGCCAATTGGCCCCAAGCCATTGGATTAAATGGGGCAGGTCCCAGTGGGTGCCAATCGGCCCCGAGCTATTGGAGACAATGGGGCAGGTCCCAGCGGGTGCCATTTGGCCCTGACCTCAGTGGAGCTGCTCCAGCTGGGAATCCTCACTCCAAGTTCACCCCGGGGTGGGGAGAGGTTCTAGCGGGGAGCTTGGAGTGAAGTGGGGTGGGGGTTCTAGACTGGAGTTCAACACGTGCTCGGGGAAGGGGCAGAGGTTCTAGACTGAAGCACAGAGGTCGATAAGAAGTGAAGGGGTTCTAGACTGGAGTGTGGGACAGAGTCAGGATGGGGTGTGGGTTCTAGATTTGAGCCAGGCGCACACTCCGGATGGGACAGTGGCTCTAGATAGGAGCCACATTAACATGGAGGCAGGGGTTCTAGATCGGAGCCAGGTGCACACTCAGGAGGGGCAGGGGTTCTAGACTGGAGGCTGTTACACACTCGGGGAGGAGGGGTTCTAGATTGGAGCCTGGCACATATGTGTGGGTTCCATACTGGTGCTCAGCAGGGGCAGATTTTCCCTCTGGAAAGCGCCCTGCAGGGATTGGCAGAAACGCAGCACCACCTTTGCCAAACCAGACGGCGTTTCGCTAGGATCCAGGACTGACAGAGGTTTTGGGAGGGTCCAGGACAGAGAAATGTAACCAAGAACCCCACGCCAGCAGCATCTCCGCCCCCTACCGCCTCCTGGGGATATTGGGATGAAGGTTTGGCTTGTGATGGTCACAAGCTTCCCCTGCTGGCGCAACCACAGCTTGAGAAATAAACGACCCTTGTGGCCATGGTGGTGGAACAAGAGCCGTGGGGCCGGCAGCCTCCACTCCTGAAGGACCAGCCACTGGTGGCCTTGTCTGTGGCAGGGAGTGGGGAGCAGGCCAGGGCTTCCCTCCTGAGCCCCTCACCCTTCCTCTGGGGGCAAAGGGACCCCCCCCCAAGGAGAATGTGGCCGGGATCCGGGTGAGAAGGAGGGACCAGGGCGGAGTGAGGATGCCCAGTGGGCTGGACAAGAGGGGGTATAGCAGCACGGTGATGGGGTCTCCGTAGGGATGCGGAAAAGGTATTTCTGGCAGTTTGGGGGAGAGCAGGAGGCTGGGGGCAGAGTAGGGGGCATGGAGGAGAGCAGGAAATGTGGGTGTTGCTCAGTCTGCCCCGCAGTCCCTCAGCTTGGTCCCTGGCTCCCAGCCTGGCCGCCCCTTCCCAGGAGGGGAGCTGTGACCCCTGAGGATCCCTTCCCCTGGGCCCTGGCCACCTGGAGCAGGGCCCCAGGGCTCTCGAGTTCCTGTGGAGCCAGGTGCCCATGGGCCAGCGTGGGGAATCGGGTTTCTATGTTTACTATGGTTCCACGTGTTCTTTATGGTTTCATGTGTTTTCTATGGTCCTGGGGTTTGGCACCAGATCGGTCGCCTTTCATTCTATTTAACGTTAATCACATTTCCTTGGGTTCAGCTCTGGTGGCTACAGTCTCAGGTTCAACAGAATTGTCTGACTGTTCTCAGTGGTACCAGATGACAGAACAAGGAGTAATGGTCTCAAGTTGCAGTGGGGGAAGTTTAGGTTGGATATTAGGAAAAACGTTTTCACTAGGAGGGTGGTGAAGCACTGGAATGGGTTACCTAGGGAGGTGGTGGAATCTCCTTCCTTAGAGGTTTTTAAGGTCAGGCTTGACAAAGCCCTGGCTGGGATGATTTAATTGGGAATTGGTCCTGCTTTGAGCAGGGGGTTGGACTAGATGACCTCCTGAGGTCCCTTCCAACCCTGATATTCTATGATTCTATTTCTCTGTTCTAGATTTGGGACCCACAGGAAACCACAGGCAAGTAACACATACAATTACAAGAGCATCTATTTTTTAGTAGTTTTATTAAAGTTGCCAATAAAATCAAAAACTTTACGACACATATAATTCCAAATCAAGATATGTGCCATGCACTAATTATAACTATAGACATAATTCCATCCTCCTAGGTGGCGTTAGAATCTGTCGGCCCTCTCAAAGTCTGTCGGCCCTCGCATGGATTGATTGTCAATATGGGAGTGGTTTCTGCTGGAGTTTCCCATAGGAAGCTCAATTTGCCTACTTTGGGCATCCTTTTTGATACTGTGACTCTGTCTATACCTACCTTCTGCACATGTACATGACAGCAGCGTCCCTCTCTTTCTTATCGGTCTATATTCCCTGCAGACACAAGGGACCCCAAATTCTATAGGCTGGGTAGGTCGATGTACCGCCTTGGTCTTGCGGTTTAAGGCACGTGTTATAAGCTCATTTTGTTGTTACAGCATTTTTATGGTTTAAATTTAACTTTCCCACTTTTACTTTCTCAATATTACCAGTTTCTGCCTCTTTTCTTAGAATTTTAGGGGATCCGGTTATTTTTAGGTCGCCAGCTTGTATCCAAGGCGTAAAATAGCTAAGCTAAAGTCTATCAGCCGGCCTCAGCTTTCAGTCTTCTTGTGTTTCAGCTTGTCTGACTTATTACCTAGTTCCTCGAAATATTGCTTAATCTTATACTATTATAATCCTATAAATCAATTCTGATTAACATATAATGAGCATATAGAATGTAATCGTAACATCACGCGATAAATGAATACCAAACTGTAATCATTGGCTACACCCGATAGATGGTCTAGTTCCTCAGTGCATAGGCTGGGATTCTCCTTTGCAGCCTGAAACCACCTCCCCTGTTCACAGTCTTTGTTCTACCACCTAGGGAGGTGGTGGAATCTCCTTCCTTAGAGGTTTTTAAGGTCAGGCTTGACAAAGCTGGGATGTTTTAGTTGGGGATTGGTCCTGCTTTGAGCAGGGGATTGGACTAGAACCTCCTGAGGTCCCTTCCAACCCTGATATTCTATGATTCTCCAGACGTGCTTCCAGATGTTGAGTTGTGGGGGGCGAGAGGCCAAAAGTCACTTTCCTTCCTTTATAGGTTCTTCCAGCTTGCTGGAAAGATCTTTTGCTATGACATGAATCAAGCCATGTCCATCGTCTACGGGCTCCCTCTGAGAAGCCTTCATTGAACACATGTGATAGTCCTTGGGAGTGTGCATTCCCCTTAATGGGCCATCAGCACTGTCTGGCTTCTCCACTGTTGTCCCTGAAAGACTGGTTGTGGGTGTTCCCAACCTCACAATATTTTCCAGTGACACACACCGAGCACAACTTCATAACTGCCCATACAATGACAGCACATAGAATCCACCAGGACATTAATGTTGAACAGATCAAGCCTTTGTGAATGATGCCTCACAAGGCTCCCTGTGTACAAAATATAGCATAATTATATCACCATGATAACTATGGGGGCGCCGGGGTGCTACTTTGGAGCACAGAGGGTCACAGCGCCAGGGACAGGGACAGAGATGTGAGGCCCCAGGCCTTGCTCATGAGGAGGAGAATCAGGAACTTCATCCCGTTGACCCCCAGCGTGAGATAAACCAACCCCACCCGGACAGGGCCAACGCTCCAGCCTGGAGTGTGCCCTGGCCGGCCTTCACCACCGCCCATCCCCCACTGCTTTTTGCCCTGGCCCTCACCAGGCCCCATCTCTCACCCCCATCTGTACTAGCCCTCATCACCTCTCCTCCCTCTCCCCATCTGCCCCGCCACCTCCCATCCCCCACCGTGTCTGCCCTCCCCCTGGCCACCTTCCATCCCATTCCCCTGTCTGCCCCACCCCTCCTGGCTCAGCCCCATGGAGTTTTCTTTCAAGGAAATATTGAATGAAGTAGCTGAGTCCCACTTCCCCTGCTGCTGGGCTGGGCACGGGGACAGCAGGAGTGGGCACCACCCCTCTGCAGCAAGGGAGGGGGGAGAATGGGGCTATAAGAAGAGGGGCTGGGAGCTGAGAGCCCATCACTGGGGATCCGGTGTGAGCCTCTGCCAGTGAGGGACAGCACCCCCTGCTCCGGCACCATGGAAACCCTAGTGAGTCCTCCCTGACCCCACCTCCTCCTGCCCCATAGAAACCCTGGTGAGTCCCTGCTGCCCCTCACCTCCTGCCCCATGGCAACCCTCATGAGTCCCTCCCGCCTCCTCCTGCCCCACAGAAACCCTGGTGAGTCCCTGCTGCCCCTCACCTCCTGCCCCATGGCAACCCTTGTGAGTCCCTCCCGCCTCCTCCAGCCCCACGGAAACCCTGGTGAGGCGTCCCCCCCACCTCCTACCCCATGGAAACCCTGGAGAGGCATCCCCCACACCTCCTGCCCCACGGAAACCCTGGTGAGGCATCCCCCCCCCACCTCCTGCTCCATGTAAATCCTGGTGAGTTGCCCCTGCCTCCTGCCCCATGGAAACCCTGGTGAATCCCCACCGCCTCCTCCTGCCCTATGGAATCCCAGGTGAATCCCCCTTGTCCCCCACTCCTGGCCCATGGAGCCCCACAGAAGACCTGTCTGCCATTCACACCCCACCCCATCAATCTCCACCAGGCTCGGGGGTGCTGACGCTGTGGGGTCCCGTGCAGGTGTCAGGATGGCTGCCCAGGGCTGGACTCCTGCTGCTGCCCCTTCTCCTCTGCTTTGGGCCAGAGACCACCAGGAGCATCAACCCGGCTGCACTCAGAGACATTGTGGATCATGCAGATAAGTGAGTGAGCATTTCCCATGTGACCCCTCTGCTCTCTCCGGGTGGTAAATGAAGGAAGATGCTTCACATTTGCCCTATGTGATTTTCTATGGCACAGGTGGCTCAGTGCATGGCAGAGCTGGGAGGGGTGATTCTGGGGTGCAGGGGGAGCTGGGGCTTGGAGCTGGGAGGGGTGATTCTGGGGTGTAGGGGGAGCTGGGGCTTGGAGCTGGGAGGGGTGATTCTGGGGTACAGGGGGAGATGGATCCTGGAGCTGGGAGAGGGGTAATTCTAGGGGTGCATGGGGGTAGGGGGTGGGTCTCATTACTATTGTTAAAAACTGGTTGGAAACTGGAATTCCAATTGCCTCGGAAATTCTAAAATTTCTATTTTCTTTTCAGTCCGAATTAGTACTAAACTTTGAAAACTTACACGGAACGGGAATTCCAAATTTTGTTTTGGAAAAATTAAAAACAGATTTCAGTTGGACCATATCTGAATATTTCATTTCAGTAAGATCAAAATATTTCCATTTCAGCTTTAGCAACTTGAGTTTCCTGCTATATAATATAATATAATATAATATAATATAATATAATATAATATAATATAATATAATATGAAAGTCCAGATGTTTCCACCTGTATATTATAAACAGTAATATAACATAACAAAAGTAAAAAAAAATAAAGTCATAACCAAATGTTTCAATCCAAACAAATTGTTCTGATAATTTTTCATCAGAAAATTACACAAAATCGATGTATTCCCTTGGAATGATCAGATTTTGTAGAATCAGCCTTTCCCTAAGGAAAACTGTTCTGTCAGAAAAAATTTGACCAGCGATAGTCATGTGCTTGCTGTACACTCCCTTTGGAATAAATGAGGACCAGATACCTTGCACCCAGGACTCTGAAAAAAACTGGCCTGTAGGATAAGTGCCCCCCCCCCCCCCCGCCAGTGTTATCAGGGTGAGGAGGTTAGATTTGGACATGGGAGCCTGAGCATTAGCATGAATATTCGTGATCGCGCTCAGGCCCTATAATAGGACAAACCACCATGAACCCAGCTTCATTCACACCCCCTGCTCCAGAGGCTGGTGGCTGCAGGGGGGGGGGAGGCTCAGTTTAGGGGATGAAGGTCTGCAGGGCTCACCCTGCCCCCACAGGTGACACCTGTGCTCCCCCAAGCCCATGCTGTGTCCACCCAGAGCAAGATTCCCTCCCAGTAGATCGTAGCTAAGGTGAAGGTGCACTGGGCTGGGAGCCAGGAGCTCTGCTCCCATGTCTGCTGTCTAGTGCACATCACAGCCCTTGTTACTGATTTGTTACCTGCACACTCCACCCACCTTTACCCTTCTGTGGGCTCAAGGCGTAACCCGGTTCATTTAGGTACCCCCAACCTTTCCCACTTCCTAGGGCTCAGGGCCTAATTTTCTGCAGGTTTGTGGGGCCTTTTACCAGTGAAAGAGCCTTGCACAGTCATATCCTTAACCTCTATTTACGAACAGCTACCCAAACAGAACACACAGGGGAAGCAGACAATGCTCACCACTCCCAATAAGGCAGACGGACTTTTCCTGGGGGCCAGCCAGTGTCAGGTCATCTGGGGCTCCAGCTGCTGCATTGAGGGCTGGCGGGGTGCTGAGGTCGGGCAGCTCTGACCTTGGGCTGTGCCCTGGAGTTAGCGTCCAACGAATTTCCTTTTGGACCCCAGTTTCTATAGTGAAACTTGAGTCCTGCTCAGTTGTACCTGACCCAATCATTGTAAACTGAAATACTGCAACATCGTGTTTTTCACCCATCCTAGCCCATTACAAAACAATTCTTTACCCAATCGTAACCAGCCACCTTCGTTGATTTAAATCTTGCACAATTAGTCATGCAACTGACAGAAACAATCAAAGAACCAGACAGAGTCCACCTAGATAAACAGTAGAGAAGTGGGGGACTATAAAGGCAAAACGATAGACGTACAGATTGAACAGTGACAACTGCTGATAAATGGTTTCTTGCCAGACTGCTGAATGCTGTCAAACAAAGTTTTGATTAAAGATCTTAAGACCTGGTGATGGTGGGGACTGTGAGGACAGAAGCGCCTCCTTAACAACCCGATGTTGCATTGTTTTTTATAATGAGGATGTGACTCTCTGTTTCCTGGCTCACGGCTGCCACTGTTTATTGCCGAAAAAGGCCTCAGACCTTACAGATTAGTGCCCTGTCCTCAGTCAGTTATGAGCCCCGAACCCTCCCCAATTCGGCTGCACAAGGCCACTTCAGGCAGAGGTGGGATGAGAACCCAGCTCTCTAACGTAGCAGACACAGAGCCTGTCACACTGAATGTGCCACATATATGTGCCATTGTTAGCCTCCCTTTAACCACAGTCACAGTCCCCTCCCAGAGCTGGGGGGAGAAATGAGGAGCCCCGATCTCCAGTATTCTTCAGCTCTCCAGCAAATCGCTGTGTGTCCCGGGGCCAACTGTGTGTCACGTCCCTCTCTTGGGGTGGCTCCGTGTAAAAGCTCCGGCTTGCTCCTGGAGCTCAAGCGATAACACTCAGCCCTGTGGCGCTGACGGACCAAAGCTCACACCGGGCTGATGATCCCTGGGGGCACCTGTGGCAGTTTCTTTTTAAAACCGCCCTCCACGTTTATTTCATTCTCCCAGGGCACAAACATCCCTTGACCCAGGCTGGAGCCCTGAGAGCCTAGAACCGGCCAGTGACGGCGCCATGTGTGACCCAGCCCAAGTTTGCCGCTCAGGGCTGGGGGCAGAGCTGTTCAGAGCCCCGCGTCCCCTCACTGCCCTTTGCTTTGCCTTCCCTTAGGGATGGGTTGGCTGTTGAATACGCCTTCGCCGTCAGCCTGGAGAAAGCCAGTTGTGAGAACCCATCTGGTCTGGAACAGATGCTGCCCAGGAACAAACTGTGGGAGATGCAGGCAGCCATTAACGCAGAGGGCAGCCTGTATGACCCAGACGAAGGGCCCATTGTGGCTGCCTGGATGAAGCACCTGGGCAGGGGAGGGGAACACGCCGAGTGGCGCCTGCTCCAGGGCGACCAGAACAGCCCCGTGCAGAAGCTCCTAGCCCGGCCCTACAACGAGAGAAGCTGCCTGATCTTCTTCACCGTCCGCTCGCCCTGCGCGGGGACGTGCCTGCTGGTGAAGAGGCCCCACAACATCCTACAGATGGTGAGTGACACCTTCCGCCCCATCGACCACAACTACAAGGCCTTCGTCTTCCGGCAGATCTACCGGCAGGACCGGGACCTGGATCCCCAAAGCCTGCTGGAGGCCTGGCACCGGCTGCCCGACGTGCCCCTGCTGCGCTGTGACACCAAGGGCTGCAGGGACTGCAGAGGGAACGACCCCAACACCGACACCAACGCCTGCCTGGACGAGATGCGAGCCATGAGGCAGCCGCTGCACCCACCTGGCAGGGGGCAGAAGGGAGAGCAAGGGGTAGAGGGGAGAGCAGAGGATGTAGGGGAGAGCATGGGACACCTTCAGAGGGCTGGGGAGATGGTGGGGCAAGGGGCACCATTGGAGGGTTGGGGGAACGGCAGGGCCGGTGGTGCCATCATAACATTGGGGGGATGGCCGGACATTGAGCTTCATCGGAGGCATGGGCAATGGAGGGGTGGGGGGCACCGTTGGGACTGTAAGCCATGGTTGGGCATAGGGCGGAATCCGTGGTGTGGAAGACGGTGGGGCAGGAGGCTTGGGGGATGGCAGGGCTGATGGCACCACTGGAGGGTTGGGGGGATGGCGGGCCAGGGGTTGCCATTGGGGGAAAGTTGGATGGAGGGTTAGGAGGTTCCATTGGAGGGTTGGGGGGGCTATGGGGCAGGGGACACTGTCAGGGGTTGGGGCAGCAGCCACCGTTGGAGGGTTCAGGGACATGGGGGGATGCAGGGAATGGAGGGAGTGGGACATTTCTTCTCTCAAGGCCTGTGATTTTGCAGAGTCCCCCCATCCTGAATGATTAACACGAATAAAGTGTTGGAGCCTCCTGGGGCCTCGTGTCTCTGTCCATGTGTCTGTCTCCCTCCTCTCTGTCCGTGTGTCTGGACTTTCCTCAGTGTGGGAGGCCCCCCAGTCTCCCTGGCAGTGCCCCCTTCATCAGGCCAGGCCTGGGCCCCCACTTGTTGCCTCAGGCTCCCCCTGAGCCCAGACCCCTGGCACGGAGTCACCCCTTGGGAGAGAGGCAGGGCACCCTTTGCCAGACACCCAGCTCGCTATGGAATCTCCTGCCATCTGCTGGTGATGTGGAGATAGACACATGAAAAACACAATGGGCAGACCTCAGTTTGGGGCTCCAGCACTGGGCGCACGTCCACCTGCAGTGGGACGTGTAGGTGGCCCATCACTCCACGGGGACCTGCAGCTCCCCAGACTGATGGGACGAGGTTCCAGTCAGTGGCTGGAGGCTCTGAGGTGCTGCGCTGGGGATGGGGGATGGGAACAGGGGGCAGGAGAGCCAGTTAGACAGAAACCTGGCCCTGCCCGGGCTTGGTGAGTCGTACATGCCTGTTCGTTTCTTCAGCTTCTCTCCTTGAGCCATATTCACCTGCTTGTTAGCCAGGCAGGGATCCGCTGACGTGGACAGGTGTGTGACAAAGGCCACGGCTAGGGTCAGGTACCTGTCGCTAAAGCCCAGGCTTCATAAGACAATTCAGAGGAGAAGAAACAGGTTTCTGTTCCATGAAGGCGGCTCTAATCAAACACAAGAGAAACCCGATAAAGCTTTAAAATCTGGGCAATGCGCAGGGAAGGGATTGTAGCAATCAGAACGAATTCTATTCAATGGAAAATTACAAGGATCATTCAATCGCCCAGGTAGGAAATGACAGGGAAAGACTTGTGCGTCCCTCCCCACCTTCCCATTGCCCACAAGGCTGCCCAAAACTCGCCTTTCACGGCCTTCCCCGACAGACACCGAAGAACAATCCGTCCCCAGCTCCACCGAACCTGCAGGGAAGGCAGCACCGTCAAAGTGACCTCTGCTGGGTCCGGGCACAAGGATGGTGCCAGTGCATGCAGTGTGTGGCTGTGGGACGGGCTGCTGTAATGGAGATACAAGCAGAGGGGTCACTGTTCAGAGGCTGCATTAGTGGGGCACGTATTGCATAATCACTCACCTCCCAAAGCGCTCAGGGAAATTAGCTACGGTCAGGCGCAGCCGGGCCTGCGCGGCACCAGCCCATCTGCCCGGGCTCTCCCCTGCCCTCCCATGTGAACCAAACCTTACCCCCTTGGAGCAGGCTAATGAGGGACACCTGCCACTGGGCTGGCTGCCGCCAAGGCCAACACTAGGAACTGGACCAACAACTCCAGGCTCCCAGGCTGAGCCTTGTCACAGACTCCCCGGGTCTGCGTGTGGGGCCCGGGACAGGAGGCCGACCACACACCCATGCTGGGGCTTCCACAGGCAAAGCGTGCGACAAACACCTGACGTGCATGTGTCAGTGATTCACACTGTAACTGACCCAGCGTCAGAGTTGTGAAGCACAAAACCTGTTTTCAAGGGGGCTTTTCACTGCGTGAATCACATGAAACTAGAGCGTGGTAGCACCTAGGACCCCAGTCCTGGACCAGGGCCCATCGTGCTAGGTGCTGTACAAGCCCAGAAGGAAAAGATACTCAGCCCCCACATAGATCAGCAGCAGGGTTTCAATCCCTCAGATCCCCAGGTTGTTCTCTGAGCTCCAGGAGTAATTACTAGCCCCTTCCTCAAGCAGCCACCGGAGAAGGACGTGAGCAATGCTGTCTCAGTGGGTTACCCAAGCATTCACTTGTCAGCAGTAGGAAGTTGGCACCCAGGAATCCTGGATTCTCTCCCCACCCTGGGTTCTGGGAGAGGAGTGTGGCTTAGTGGTTAGAAATCTGAGACTCCACCTTGGTTGGAAACTCTGACAGACCGGGTGGGGCAGCAGCAGATCAAAGAGGCTTCTGTCATTTTAGAGACCTGGGGCTTGGACATTTTTTGCCATTTTTCACACACCACAAAATTGAAATTTGGCAGCTTCAAACTGAGGCACAAAATTTACCATGCTCCCTTTAAATTATTTTAAAAAAACCACACGCAAGTACCTAACAATGGTATTCTTGGAGACCATAGATCTGGTCTGTGAACTATGATATCTACAAATGTCACACACACACACTCTCTCTCTGTCTCTGTCTCTCTCTCTCTCTCCATCACGGGCCAAAAATTACAACCCAGGTTTTGTTTTATTAGAACTCACTCAGCAACACAAGAGATTAACTATCCATGCCACTGCCCAAACACAAATGTGTTGCACAGAACCCTAGCTCTGGTGTCACTGCCACGGCACCTCATCCAGACAGATTCCAGCCCCTGGTTATGTTTTGCTTCTTGAAACTTGTTCAGGGCATGGACCAGACACCGGCCCTTCCACTGCGGAGGGTGGGAAGAATGATCCTGGGGGTGACACCTGGATCTGGGTGCTAGGACACCTCAGTTCCAACCTTAGCTCTGTGCCTGTCTTTGGCAGGTCCCCTCCTGTCTGGGTGCCTCAGTTTGCCCCTCTCTAAATTTGGATCTATAACGTTTGTGAGGTTTATAAGGGAGTTAACAACCAGCACAAATCTGAAGGCAGCTACGGAAATGACAACCCACCAGTGTGTGCACAGAGCCAGTGCCCACACGTGACTGACGTGACAGGTAAGTGTCTGCACAGCAACTGTAGCATTGCCAACTTTCTAATAGCAGAGAACTGAACCCCTTGACTCACCCCCTGACCTGCCCCATCTCCAAGCTCCTCCCCCACTCATTCCATCCCCCTCACTTGCTCTCCCCCACCCTTGCTCACTCGTTCATTTTATCCAGGCTGGGGTAGGGGGTTGGGGTGTGGGAGAGGGTTTGGGGACCAGGCTCTGGTGTGGGGGCAGTTGGCTGGGATGTGGGAGGGTGTACGGGCTCTGGCCTGGGGGTTCGGGCTCTGGGGTGGGGGCAGTAATGAGGAGTTTGGAGTGTGGGAGGGGGCTCCAGGCTGGGGTAGGCAGTTGGGGTACAGGAGGGGGCTTGGGGAGCGGGCTCTGCGTGGTGCTGATCTCAGGCAGCGCCAAGAAAGTTGCGACATCTTCCTCCAGCTCCTGGGGGGGGGCACGTCCCAGGGGCTCCACGTGCTGCCCCTGTCCACAGGCGCTGCCCTCACAGATACCAGTGGTCATGGTTCCTGGCCAGTGGGAGCTTTGGAGCCTGCATGGCTGCCCCTGTGCCTAGAGGCCGCACCCTGGAGGGACATGTCGGCTGCTTCCGGGAACTGCACGGAGCCGGGTAAGGAGCCTGCCTGCACCAGCAACCGGACTTTTAATGGAGCCACCAGGGTCCCTGTTTGACCAGGTGTTCCTGTGGAAAACCAGACACCTGGCATCGGGCAACACTGACTGGGAGGCGTGACTCTCAGCTCATGTAGAGGGACTCGTGCTAGTGCCTGTAAACATCCCAGCAGTGCCAGTTGTGTGATGAGTGCTTGGCCCAGCTGCCCAAGTAATCCATCACTGTGGTCAGACATCCCCTGTCACCAGACACATCCCCCTCCTACTCTCCCCTGTCTCATCCCCCCCTTCCCCCAGCCCAGGTTATTCCCCAGCACCCCTTCCAGAAGAAAAGACTTTCCTGGTTTTCTCAGGTGTTTGGTTTCTAACAAGGGTTTTAGATGAGAATTTTCTGCTCACAGTGATGGGGCCTCCTCCACCCCCAGGCCTGGCCCAATGTTTCAGATCACAAGCCATGAATGGCAGCAGAAGGGACACCAGGGATCCTTGGTTCGGGCTCTCAGGGCCCACAGTTTGAGGAGCAAGATCCAAAATAACGAGCTGTTCAAATTTAAGGGTTGCCAGGAGGGCTGTCAAGTGAATAAAAAAATTAATTGAATTAATGGCGCGATTAAAAAAATTAATCACGATTAATCGCACAGTTCATCATCGCCGCCCTCCCCCCGGCGGTGCCTCTGGCCGCTGCGGAGAGCGGAGCCCCGGCGGGTCTCGCCGCCCTCCCCCTGGCGCTCTGGCCGCTGGGGCTCCGCTCTCCCTGGCGGGGCTCGCGGCCCTCCCCTGCCGGGGGGGGGGGGAGGGGGGCGGCGGGAGGCTTTTTGGCCTGGGGCGGCAAAAAAGCCAGAGCCGGCCCTGCTTGTTTATAATGTCACCTAAAAGTGAGAACAGGCATTCACATGGCATTCTTGTAGCTGGTGTCACAAGATTTTTACCTGCCAGATACACTAAAGCAGTGGATCTGGAACTTGGGGTCATGACCCCTCAGGGCGTCATGAGGTTATTATGTGGGGGGTCGTGAGCTGTCAGCCTCCACCCCAAACCCCGCTTTGCCTCCAGCATTTATAATAGAGTTCAATATAAAAAAGTGTTTTTAATTTATAAGGGGGTGTCACACTCAAGAGGTTTGCTGGGTGAAAGGGGTCACCAATACAAAAGTTTGAGAACCACTGCGCTAAAGAGTCATATGTCCCTTCATGCTTCAACCACCATTCCAGAGGACGTGCGGCCATGCTGATGACGGGTTCTGCTCGAGAACGAGCCAAAGCAGAGCGGCCCGACACATGTTCATTTTCATCATCAGAGTCAACTGCCACCTGCAGAAACTTGATTTTCTTTTTTGGTGGTTCGGATTCTATAGTTTCCGCATCAGAGTGTTGCTCTTTTATGACTTCTGAAAGCATGCTCCACACCTCGTTCCTCTCAGATTTTGGATGGCACTTCAAATTCTTAAACCTTAGGTCAAGTGCTGTAGCTATTTTTAGAAATCTCATATTGGTACTGCAGTGGGGTGTCTGCTCCACTCCATGAGTAATTGGGCTGCAATAGGCCAGAGAGGCTGCGCAGCCCAGCAGCCTATCGGCAAGGGCCTGTGGGGAGCCAATCAGGGCCAAGAAAGAGGCAGCCAATCAGGGCCAGGCTGGGCCCTATATAAAGATTGCCTAGCAGAGGAGCAGGCAGTCTCTCCCTGACTAGCAAGAAGGACTGGCTCCTGAGGAAAGGAGGTAGCACCTTGGACAGAGCAGTGCTGGGCAGGCTCTGGGGGAAACAGAGGAGAGCTCTGGCCCAATTACCTGTCAGGCTGCGGCCCCTGCTAAAAAGGGTTGAGAAGGTGCATGGGGCCAAAGGGGAAGTGGCCCAGGGAAAATAGGAGGACAAGAGGGGAGTAAAGGAGGGAACAGAGAGGCTGCCGTTAGAGGGTCCTTGCGTCGGGACCCAGAGTAGCAGGTGGGCCTGGGTCCCCCCTTTACACTGTACCTGGCCACAGAGGAGTGTGGCCAAGATAGACTGCAACTGACTCCTGAGAGAAGGGGCTAGACTTTGGGGTTGTGGTTGGCCACCAAGGCAGGTGCAAGCTGAAAGACCGCTGTTAACACCCCTGGAAGGGGGTGAGACTGGAGTAGTGGGCACTGCCAGAGGGCAGTGTCCTGAAGTGAGGAGCAACGCGGTTCCCAAAGCAGCAGAGCAGGCGACGGATGAGACACCACGCGTCGAGGGCGCTCCATGACTGACAAGAGCTAATTCCCAGAGCAACCAGCGGGAGGCGCCAGCGGTGATGAGTCAATACCCCGTTACAGTACTGCCTGCATTTTGTCAAATCTGCAGTGAAAGTGTCTTAAATGAACAACATGTGCTGGGTCATCATCCGAGACTGCTATAACATGAAATATATGAGAGAATGTGGGTAAAACAGAGCAGGAGACATACAATTCTCCCCCAAGAAGTTCAAAAAAGTCACAGATTTAATAAACACATTTTTTTAATGAGCATCATCAGCATGGAAGCATGTCCTCTGGAATGGTGGGTGAAGCATGAAGGGGGATATGAATGTTTAGCATATTTGGATATAAATTCCTTGCAACACCAGCTACAAAAGTGCCATGCGAACGCCTGTTCTCACTTTCAGGTGACATTGTAAATAAGAAGCAGGCAGCAGTATCTCCCGTACTTAGGTAAAGCACTCGGTTTTGTCTGAGCGATTGGCTGAACAAGAAGTAGGACTGAGTGGATTTGCAGGCTCTAAAGTTTTATACTTTTTTTTTAAAGTGCAGTTATGTAAAAAACCCCTCTACATTTCTAAGTTACACTTTCACCATAAAGAGATTGCACTGTAGTACCTGTTTGAGATGAACTGAAAAATACTATTTTTTTGTTTATCATTTTTACAGTGCAAATATTTTTAATAAAAATGATAATATAAAGTGAGCGCTGTACACTTTGTATTCTGTGTTGAAATAGAAATCAATATATTTGAAAATGTAGAATAACATCCAAAAATATTTAATGAATTTGAATTGGTATTCTGTTGTTTAACAGCGAGTTTAATCACGATTCATTTTTAATTGCTTTTTTTTTTAATCACATGAGTTTTAGTTAATCACATGCGCATTACCTCAATACGGTGCACATAACGAAATTCATTCCACACAAGTCTGGAAAAAATTAGAGGGAAAATTGCTGATAGCCCCGGTGCTTCAAACCAGGTCCCATTCCATGCCTCCCCATTTATCCCCCCTCCATAATCCCCCCACCTCTCACTGCGCCCTATCCCCCCTGTGGTGGGTTATCACCCCTGGGGTGCAGTCTGGGAGGTGCAGGAACCACTGTGGGCTTTGCTGGAAATAACAGGCCCTGAGGAGGCTGAGTGTATCACCCAACATGACAGCAGGTGGTGCCACAAGCCCAAATGACTTAACTGAGTGCTTTACCTAAGCCACTACAGGACATACAATCAAGTGTCCCAGCTTTGCACCCCTGCTGGAGTATAAACCCAGAATTATACTGACTTGCACTGAACAAGGATCTGTACAATGTAGCATATTAATATAGTTTGCTCTATAGTTCCCTCAATGTGGGAAAAATATACACAACAAGCTTGTGTTAACCAAGCTGAGATTTTCCCCAGACACTTCAATCAAAACACATTGATAAAGAGAAAACATAAAACAAGTTTATTAACTACAGAAAAATAGATTTTACGTGACAGCAAACAGATCAAGGCAGATTATCTAGCAAAACAAAACAAAACAAAACAAAAAATGCCAATTAAGCTTAACATACTAGATGACTAGGATTTGAATTAGCAATTTCTCACCCTGACTAATGATACAAGCAGTCCATCAAGTTTTCATACACAGGCTAGAAATCCCTTTAGCCTGCGACCAGCACTTCCCCCAGTTCAGTCTTTGGTCCTCAGGTGTTTCCAGGAGTTCTTTTGTGAGGGGAGTGAGGCCCTGAGATGATGTCACATCCTGCCTTCTATAGATTTTCCATATGGCAGGAACCTTTTGTTCCAAACTCAGTTCCCAATCCAGTTTGTGGAAAAATACAGGTACCAAAATGGAGTTTAGTGTCATGTGGGCTGGTCAAATGCCCTTGCATGTCATAGCAGCCATTATCCATAGGCTGTCTGGAGCATTTTCAGGAAGGCTCACCAGGTGTGGAATACGCTTCTTCAAAGGCCTATTGTTTCCCCTAATGGACCGCTACCTTGAATAGGCCCTTCACAACCAGCTGTCTAAACTGGAAGCATCTCTCCTAGTGGGTGTCAGCCCGGTGTGTCTACATGGACTATAAGGGGTCTACATGACCCACACTTTGCATAATTATAGTAGGACCTCAGAGTTATATTTCATACTTCTAGTTTCAGATACAAGAATGATACATTCTTGCAAATAGGATGACCACATTCAGTAGATTATAAGCTTTGTAATGATACCTTACAAGAGACCTTTTGCATGAAGCATATTCCAGTTACATTATATTCATACTCATTTCCATATTTTCATAAAATCACATGGAGTGCAACGTCACACTGATCACTAAGAATGATCATCTTCAACCCTGAAGCAAGAGGATTTATAACCCTTCCAATAAGCCATGTTCATTGGGAAATGACCAATATGCATCAGAAGCAAAAGCCATCACACTGTCATCCTCACCCCAGGGAAACGGACAGGTCATTTATTGCCCTCTGCCCGGACACAGAACTCGCAGACGCCGTGTTTCAGAAGATGCTTTATTTGAATTTACTAAAATCAACTAGAGAAATGAGCACATTTGGATTTGGATTCAAGGGTGATTATGCCACTGGCATCTGTTGATCAGAAGCGATCTCTGTTGGGAGAGCAGAGGTGTCCAGAGCGGGGCTCATTCCTTTCATTTAATTTCTAATGTCATCGTTCTGTCTCCTCCCAGATCTGGAGCTGTCACCTGAAAAGGACAGAAGGACAGACCTTCAGCGCCACTTTACTAGCTAGGCAGCAGGATGGCAGAAAAGGATCTAGGTGTTAGGGTGGATCACAAATTGAATATGAGTTGACAGCATGGTGAGGCTGTGAAAAAGGCAAATATAATTCTGAGGTGTATTAACGGGAGCATCATGTGTCAGACATGGGAGGTCATTGTCCTGCTGTAGTTGGCAATGGTGAGGTCTCAGCTGGAGGACAGTGTCCAGTTTCGGGTACTGCACTTGAAGAAAGATGTCGGCAAATTGAAGAGAATCCAGAGAAGAGCAACCAAAATGATCAGAGATTTAGAAAACCTGACCTAGGAGGGGAGGTTGAAAAAATTGGGCAGGTTGAGTCTTGAGAAGAGAAGGCTGAGGGGGGAACCTGATAATCTTCCAATATGTGAAAGGTTGCTAGAAAGAGGATGGAGAACAATTGTTCTCCATGGCCACCAAGGGACAGACAAGGAGGAATTGGCTGAGTTTGCAGCTAGGGAGAGTTAGGTTAGATACTAGGAAAAACTTGATAGCTGTATGGATAATTCGGCTCTGGAGCAGGTTACCTAGGAGAGGTTGTGGCATCCCCATCATTGGAGGTTGGACAAACACCTGTCAGAGATGGTTTAGGTATATTTGGTCCTGCCTCAGCATGGGGCAGGGGGAGGGAGGCTCTTCAGGTCCCTTCCAGCCCTATATCACTATGATTCCATAGTTGGGTACCTGGTGGATGTGTATGGGGATCGTTGGGTGGGTGACTGTGGATAGGGATGTATGAGTGGGTGGATGGATGCCTATGGGAATGTATGGATGGGTGTGTATGGGGAAGGATGGATGGATGCATGTGGTGATAGATGGATGGACACAAAGTCGCCAGATTGGGGCCCTGTTGCACCAGGCACTGCCGAGACACAGAGACACAGGTGCTGCAGAACGACCCAGCCTGGAAGAGCTCCGAGTGTAAACAGACAAAAGAAGGAGGATCATCCTGTGATGTTGCACTCCACATGCTTTATGGAAATATGCTTAAGAATATGGCATAACTGGAATAAATACTCCTTCTATGGTGTCATTAGAAAGCTTGTAATCTACTAAGTGTGTTCATCCTATTTGTTTGCATGTATTATTTCTATATCTGGAGTTAGGAGAATAAGATATAAACATGAATCACTGATGTAAACATATTAAGTGGAGGCCATTAAGGGCGCTCCAGAAACAATCAGTTGTAAATGGCCTTAGTTACTTGAAAGCCTTCCTGTGTACGTGTGGGCCAGCCCATGAGTAATGGAGACTAGGGGTCTTACATGTGACCATGTCACCTGATAATGAAATCCATCTTCAATCTGGTACTTTTCCATTTAGAAGGAGGGGTGGGGACCCACAGAGACAAAAGATTCCCGCCTTGTGCCAAAGCTATAAAAGGGGGTGGAACAGAACAAAAGAGGCTGCAGTCATGAGAAAACCCCTAGTTTCCACCTGAGATGTCTGCTGGAACTAACAAGGACTGTACCAGGGGAAAGGATTGGGCCCAGACTAGGAAGGAGTCTAGTCTGTGAAAGAAGCTTATTGGAACATCTCTGAGGGTGTGATTTTACCTGTAATCAGTTTCTTAATGTATTAGGCCTAGACTTGCGTGTTTTTGCTTTATTTTGCTTGGTGGCTTACTTTGTTCTGTCTGTTATTACTTGAAACCAATTGAATCATACTTTTTATACTTAATAAAATCACTTTTGTTCATAAATAAACCCAGAGTAAGTGATTATTACCTGGGGGAGCAAACAGCTCTGCATATCTCTCTATCAGTGTTATAGATGGTGGATAATGTAGGAGTTTACCCTGTATATGCTTTATACAGAGTAAAAGAGATTTATTTGGGGTTTGGTTCCCACTGGGAGCTGGGCGTCTGGGTACTGGAGATAGGTGACCTGCTGAGCAGTTTTCAGTTAAAGTCTGCAGCTTTGGGGGTGTGGTTTAGACTGAGTCGGCGTTTGCAGCAGGCTAGCGTGTCTGGCTCAAGAAGGCAGGGTTCTGGAAGTCCCAAGCTGGCACTGGAAAATGGGCTCAGAGGTAATTTCAGCACATCAGGTGACAGTCCCAAGGGGATCTCTGTGACTGAACCCATTACACACACCCCTGGTCTAGATGGGGATGCCATAATCAGAGACCATCCCATTGCCCTGTCCTACCTGTCTCAGGTAGGGCAGAAGCTCCACTGATGATCCCGGTCATAGTTGTCTGTGGTGGAACACCAGAACTTCCCCTTGGCCTCTGCCAGGTTGGTGCAGGTGAGGAATTTAAAATTCTTGTAGATGAAGGGGAAGACACAGGGCTTGTCAAAGTCTGCAGACCAAACATACCACCAGCAGGTGAGAACCATGGCCGGAATCACAGGCAGCACATAGCAAATGCAGGCAACATCGGACTGGAAGCAAACACTTTGTTAGATAGTTCCCCACACAGCTTAGGGCTACGGGAGAGAGCGCGGCCCCATGACAGGGGTGTCAGGCAGAGCAATGAGAGACTTGGGTGCTATGCCTGGCTCTGCTAGGTGACCTTTAGCAAGGCACAGCCCAGCTCCATGCCTCAGTTTACCCAATTCTGCAACATGGGGCTAACGATCCAAAGATGTCAAGGGGACAGGCAAACAATGTCTCTGCTGTTGGGGGTTACATATGCAAAATGGGTCTGTGGGCATTTTATGTCCATTTAGGCAGTTTATACAGGCACAGGTGGTTAGACACAGCCACACTCCAGATGTGTTTTCGGGATACATCCTCTGTGGTTATTACGTGCATTAGTCAAGGCGTCTAGATACTAGCCTCAGAGTCAATGAGATCGGGGCCCCATCGCGCCAGGCGCTGCCCAGACACAGAATCACCAAGATCGGGGTTGTGCCAGGTGCTGCCCAGACAGATAGAGATGGACAGTCCCTGTCTCAAAGTGCTGCCAATCTAAACAGCCAATAGAAGGAGCCCCACCGCTCTAGGGCGATTTGGGGGATGGTTTTAAGAACTGCTGAACAGCTGCTACCCATGAACTTCAGCTTGCTCAGCTTTTCCTAAAGGGCGGAGGGTGGGGACCAAAAAACCAACCAACCTGCTCTTAAGCGACTCACCCAAGGAGTCTATGACAGAGCCAGGAATTGACCCAGGCCTTGGTGAGACAAACGCCTTAACCGCAAGGTTCAGCTTCCTCCATCCCCTGTCCTACCTGGCGTGGAGCAGTAAGTCCACTTCTTGTCCACGTCATAATTCCTGGTGGTGCTGCACCACAGTTTTCCTGAGCTCGCCCCGTCGCTGGTGCAGGTGTGGTACACTTTCTTCTTATAGACGAAGGGGAATGCACAGCTCTTTCCTACTGCATTCCCACCCAGGACTAGGGAGGCAAAGGGAGGTGGTTATAGACACCGCCAACACGCCCACCTGCCTATGGACTAATGGCTCCCGCATCCCACTCATCACCAACCCAGCTACCCATCACCAACAGCCAAGAAATCTCAGGTAGGCTTTCATAGATCCCAAGGCCAGAAGGGACCATTGTGATCATCTAGTCTGACCTGTAGAACACAGGCCAGTGAATTTCCCCTGGTTCTCTCTGTGTTGAACCCAATAACTTGGGTTTCACTCAAGTATCTTCTAGAACAGCATCCAGTCTGGATTTGAAGACATCATTGTGGCTAATGCTTCTTCCAGGAAAGCCAACACTGGGCTGGGACAGGAACCTGGATTTCCAAATCCCACTGAGGTTTGACCCTCCATCGATTCTGGATCTGATTCTATGGCTGCTCCTAAACCCTGGCTTTGAACCTTTCCTGAAGGAATCCTTAGAGGCTCCTTCAACTGCTGGGAGGGGTGTGTTGTAAGCCACTATCCCACCAACCAATCAGATAGACTCCCACTACCCAACTCCCATTGGTATCAATGTGTCACAACTCCTCATTGGCTCAGGGGCACAGCAGAGATGTGATGAGATCATACAGGAGATCTGGAGGCCCCTGGACAACTGGGTAAATAGAGGTGTATGAAACTTTTCAGATGAAATGTTTTTGGCGAAAAGTAAGGTTTCAGTGAAGCCAAAATGTGTTGTGAATTTGTGTCAGTTTTGTGGGATTGTTCGTGTTGGAAAAATGACCAAAAATGCAGAAAATGTCAATTCTTCAATTTCAAACAACTTCTGCTTTCAAAATCTCCTTCTATTTTATTAAAACCAAAATTTAAAAAGTTTAAAAAATGCTCAAGATTTAAACAAAATGTTTCATTCAACCCAAAGGGATTTTTTTCCTTAAATTTTCAGTTCAATGACAATTTAAAACAAATAATTTTTGGGATCCACCCAAAACAATTTTGTTTCCTGATTTTTTAATTCATGAAAAGTATCAAAGAAAATTTCAATTCCAGGATCCACCCAAAATGTTTTTTCCCCGGTCTTACAAATGATGGAAATTTTTGAACAAGTTTGTTTCTGGGCTCCTCCCAAAACACATTGTCCCCTGATTTTTTTTGATTAATTAAAAACTGAAATATTTCAGTTTCTGGACAACCCGAGACAAATTTTTTTCTAATTTTTTGATTCACTGAAAATTTCAGAAATTTCGTTTTAGGAACGCACTCTAAACCATTTTTATGACTTTGCAATGCAATGACAATTTTAGAAAAAATGAACTTTCACGAGCTACCTGAAATGACCTCCCTCCCCCCATTTTTTGATTCAATGACAATTTCAAAAAAAAATTCATGGTAATCCAAGACAAGCTCCTCCCCTCACCCCGGTTTTTCAGAATCACCAGCAAACCACAAATTAGTTATTTTCCCGGCTGTATGGGAAAAGCCAGAGTCAGATCTGCCCCAGAGGGAATATACGAAGAGACTGGATACATTACTGATATCTGGACAGTAGCTCCACAGCTTATCCTCATTGTAGTTCTTGGTTGTAGCACACCAGAAATTTCCCATCTTGTCTCCAGCGTTGGTGCAGCTGTGATATAGCTGGGATTTGTAGACAAAAGGAAATATGCAGCGCTGGCCATTCGAGTTCCCCCCATAGGCTGCAAAGGCAATGAGTAAATCAGAGTGAACAGCAGGAATGCCAAAGAGAGAGACCGTCGTGGCCGTTTTCTTAAGGAAAAAGAAAAGCCGGGGTAGGGGTGTCTCATCTCACTACTGTGGCGAAAGCCAAAGATAATTTTTTAAAGTGGGTGAATGGCGTTGCGCCTAGGAGCATGGGATCACCCCGGGGCCCATCTAGCCTGGCATCCCGTCTCTGACGGCCGCATCACAAGGAGGTGCCAGGCAATCTGGCTGCACAGGGGAAGCCATTTGTAGCACGCAGCCCCTCCAGCGAGCTCATTTGACCCGCAAGACTGGGTGACAGCACTCCCTGTTCTAGAGCTCCACGTACCGGCATGTCCTCCACAAACCCTTTCCCCCTGTGCCGACACGGAGCGCTCTGGTCGTGACCAGGACTCACCCTTGCTCAAGCAGAAGCGCCAGAGATGGTCTTTGTCGTAGTTGGAAGTGGTAGCACACCAGGGCCGTCCCATCTGGTCATCGACTGCCGTACAGCTGTGGTAGGTCTTGCCCCTATAGATGAAAGGGAAGACGCAAGGGGAGCTGTCTGATTTTCCCCCTGCCGCTGGTGGAAAAAGAGGCAAGGGAGGAAAGGGTTAAAAACAGGGCAGAAGGCAGGACGCAGGGCAGAACTGGTCGCAAATTTTCCCAACAAAACAATTTTTTTAAGTGGAAAAAATGCCAATTCATGGGAATCGAAGTATTTGAGGATGAAAGTTGCTGGTTTTGAAGCATTTCCCTACTTGAAAAAAATGTTGAGGGAAAAAAGCGTGGAAACATTTAGACATGTTTGATATGGAAAAAAAAAATCTGGGTTCTCGGTTGGGAGCACCTTTTTGTTTTGAAATGTAAGCAGAGTCCAAATGAGCTCTCCCCTGACATCTAGTGGTGAGCTGGGGAAGAGGACTTCAGGAGCTGATCTCACTTGCATGGACACACCCACCCTGCCTAGGTGCTCAGCATGATGGGATTGCTGGTCCAAATGGTCCTTTTGGCTGGTGTGGGGGATCCTCAGTCTCCTTGTTTTTGGGGCAGGAGTAATAAAGGGTTGTTATCCTTGCTTGAACCGAGGGCAGCAGAACTATACTTGGCATATCCCAATGGTGGGACTCACCTTCAACGAAACAGCACTCGCTAGGACAGGGACATGGGTTCCAAAGCCCAGTGAACTGAAGGAGGATGGGGATAGGTGCTTGTGTGTGGGCTGTGTCCAAGGCCCCCAGATACCCTGACTCTTCTTCTCTCCACTGTGTAATAATAACACAGCTAATCTGAACTTGATTGAGGGTCTTGTTACATGCTGCAAAGCTAAAATCACTGATATCTATTAGGCTTTGTAGTGAGTCCCCTTACTGGAAACAACTGGGGGGTGGGCGGGTGCCCTGGAAGGGGAAGATCCCATCCGGAGGCTGGAGACAGTGGAGCCAGGGAGTTCTGAGTCTGCCCCTCATAGGGTCAGGCAGCAACCCGGAAGTATAAAACCAGGCCCTCAGAACTCAGTCTGGCCCCAGCAGCCGGAGAGACCAGACGTCTCCAGCCTAGCTTGGGGCTGGGAAACCTCCACAGCCTGCCCTGCGCCCGCTACCCCGAGAAGCCGCCGGGCCTGCCCTGTGCCTCCTATCCGGAGGAGCTCCCGGACTTTCCAAACGATCCCTGGCCAGACGAATCCATGGTCCAGGATCCCCCCGAGGCCGACGCCAGCACCCAGGTAGGTCCAAAGGGGGGGGTCTGGAAGTAGCCCGGGGGCAGCCGACCCCAGTCTGGCTGCAGCACTGCCAGAGCCCATGTCAGTGTGTTGCGGCCAGGATCCCCACTGACACAGCAGCAGGGATTCTGCCGCTGCTAGGGCCCCGGGCTGTGACGCAGTGGAGTGGGAGGGCCTGCATCCCCCCTGCCACCCAACCCGTGGGTGGCAGTCTCCCCCTCTCCCAGGCCTGTTGAGGCTCAGGCCTATTATTGTGGCTCAGCCCTGCCTGAGGGCCTGAGCTCTGCCTCTGTGTTTGTTGCCCTGACCTGACCTAGGGCCTGGGCTAAATACTTTATTTACTGTTGCTCAATCCTGACTAAGGGTCTGAGCCCTGACCGAACGCTGGTGCCCGCCCTGAACCGGGGTCGGGCTGCCTGTATCTTTCAGGACTGCAAGGGCTGCCGGGCGAGACCCTGCAGCCAGACAAAGCACTCAAGCCCCAGCAGATAGTGAGTCGGTGTGGCTCCCCGCCGCCCAGGAGCGGGTCGAGCCCCAGCCAACTAGTGTACAGGCCTGCTTTGGGACAGTGCTTCTGATGCAAGAGACTGACCCATGTGCACCAGCAGTGAGGCTCCCCCACTAACAGCTGAAATCACTGAGAGATGTGTTAAGTGGTGGGCGCTTAGTGAGTGGCCAGCAGCGCAGCTGGTGGAGAGGGCCAGAGCAGAGCCCCGCAGAGAGGGGCAGTGAACGAGTGCCTGAGCAGTGGAACAAGTAAGGTGTCTCTTTACCCACCCTCCCTCCACACAGGATGGGAGGTGAACTCTGCAGATGCACGTCTGAACTCTACATCTGCACTGGCCAAGGATAACAACTGTGAGTGGGGTGCAGAGAAGGGATGGGCAGGTTAAAGGAACTTTTGGTTGCTGGACTTAAGACCCTGAGAGGAAAAGGACACCGCACAACTTACTTGGGGTGGGTCTTTTGCTCATTGTTTGTGTTTGAGCCCTGTTTGTGGTGTTTTCCTAAATTAACACAGAGTTACTTCCCTCCTTTTATTAAAAGTTTTTGCTACACTCAAACTCTGTGCTTGTGAGTGGGGAAGTTTTGCCTCTTAGGGGCGCCCAGGGGGTGGTGTGTAATTTGTCCCAGGTCACTGGGTGGGGGCTCAAGCTTGTTCTGTGTTGTATTGTTGAAAAGGAACCCCTACATACTGAACCCGGCCCTTGTTACTGCCAGCTCTGACTGGCAGAAGGGTTACAAGAATTTAAGCTAAATTAGAGTAAAAACAAATTAAAAAAAGAAAAAAAGGTTGAAATTGAAACAGAACATTTCAAAACAAAACTTTTTAACTGAGCCGAACTGAAAGAGAGTTTGGCTTTTCAGTTCATGAATATTTTCGAGGTCTCATTTTTTCCCCCTCCAACCCAGAGGGGAAAAATGTTGAATTCCCAAAAATATTTCTAGGCTAGGGAAAAGATCCAAGGTGTCAATTGGCAGCACTGGGCAAAATTTTGGTGTGGTTCAATATGGGCACTGAGATGTTCCTTGCTCCTACAGGACCTATATACAAATGAATGCTTCTTGTCCACTCCTTTTGTTTAGCTGTTCAGATACCACAGTAATGGAGACACACATAGAATAGAATAGAGTAGAATAGAGCATTGCCCAGACACAGTCATTGAGATCGGGGCCCCATCATGCCCGGTGCTGCATAGAAACAGAGCCAAAACCAGGAATGTTGGCAATTAATTGACCTTTGATTATTAGCAGGTAAATATGCCCAATGGTCTGTGATGGGATGTTAGATGGGCTGGGATCTGAGTTACTACAGAGAATTCTTTCCTGGGTGTCTGGCTGGTGAGTCTTGCCCACATGCTCAGGGTTTAGCTGATCACCATATTTGGGGTGGGGAAGGAATTTTCCTCCAGGGCAGATTGGCAGAGGCCCTGGAGGTTTTTCGCCTTCCTCTGCAGCGTGGGGCATGGGTCACTTGCTGGAGGATTTTCTGCACCTTGAGGTCTTTAAACCACGATTTCAGGACTTCAATAACTCAGACATAGGTTAGGGGTTTGTTACAGCAGCAGGTGGGTGAGATTCTGTGGCCTGCATTGTGCAGGCAATCAGACTAGATGATCATAATGGTCCCTTCTGACCTTAAGGTCTATGAGTCTATGAGGAATAGAACGCATGTGTCCTGATTTCCCCCCACCTCCCAGTCTGTGCACATAGCAGCTACAAAGCAAACCCATCCCTTAAGCCTCTCCTGGCCCCACATACCTGCCGTGCCGCAGTACCTCCATTTATGGTCTGCTTCATAGTTGCTAGCGGTGGCACACCAGGGCCGCTTGCTGTCATCCATGGTACAAGCCGTGTAACTCCTGCCTTTGTAGCTGAATGGGAACGTACAGGGCTCCTCCGAGTTCCCGCCAAGCACTGGGGGAGATGGGGTTGGGGAGAGAGATGGGATGTGGGAGGCAGAAGAGTCAGAGAGCATGCTGGGTAACACGGCTCACTTTCAAATCAGAATCACCACAAGTTGAGCCCATTTCCAGGTAAATAAAACCCCTTGTCTCCCCTGAGCCCCACAGCAGCCTAGCCACCGCCCCCAACAACCGTGGGGTAGTGCAAGGAATGGGGGACTGGGTTATGGGACACTGGCAGAGCTGTGAGGAGGATGAGCCCAGGGCTGGGCTAGCAGGGGCAGTGGGTCGGGAGTGAGGGGCAAAGGCAGAGCTGGGGGTGAGCCCAGGGCTGGGCTAGCAGGGGCTGCGGGGCAGGAGTGAAGGGCACCAGCAGGGCTGGGTGCGTGGGGGGACACTGGGCGGGGCCCCCGGAGGCACCATACTTGTGTCGGGACAGTAGCTCCAGCGCTGATCCATGTCGTAGTTTGCCGTGGTGGCGCACCAGGGCTGAACCCTGTGGCACTGCTTCGTGATGCAGGTGTGGAAGGTGCGGCCCTTGTACACGAAGGGGAAGAAGCAGGGCTGGCCTTCCGAGTTCCCCCCATAGGCTGAGTGGAAACACAGACAGTGACTGTCAGGGGGTGGGACACCCTGGGTTTAGTGCAGATGGGTGCGGACCCCTCACCCCACCCTGGACAGAGCCTGCGGGGGGGTAGGGGGGTAAGGCCCACCAGAGATGGGGACTCTGCTGCCACCCTGCAAGGGTCTGACCCATAGACAGACAGACAGACAGACAGATGGGTGAGGTTGTATTGGGCTAGTCAAACAGACCAAGTGGGTGGCTCTCCCCTGCCCAGCTCTGGAGACGTCGCTGGGGCAGGTGGCAGGAAGACAGTGGCCAAGCACCTGGACATTGGCCAGACCCGCCAGCTCTGGGCATGTGGTATCACAAACGGGGAACATGACGCTCCTCCATGCTGCCCCGTGCTGCCCCCCGTTCCCATCCCATCCGCCGGCTTCTTCCCAATCCCCATCCCTGAATCGTGCCCTAGCCACCCCCTTTTCCCATCCCATCCCCCGGCTTCCCTCCCATCCCGTCCCCCAGCTGTCCCACCCCTGGGCACTCACCCGCCTCGGAGCAGACCCTGTAGGCCTTGTCCCGGTCATAGTTGGCGGTGGTGGCGCACCAGGGCCGGTCACTGTCCTCGGTTGTGCAGGCCGTGTAGACCTTGCCCTTGTAGGTGAAGGGGAAGACGCAAGGGGCAGGGTCTGCACCTGGCCATGAACAAGGGGCAGAGATCAGAAAAGGGGACAACGGCTGCCCGGGGGCCCCTCAAAGCCTAGCAGGGAGAGACCTGGCAGGGGTCAGGACGCCTGGGTTCTAGCCGCAGCTCAGGGAGGAAAGGGGGCGTCGTGTTTTGAGCAGGGGGGCTGAGAGCCAGAACTCCTGGGTTCTCTCCCTGGCTCTGGGAGGGGAGGGGGTCTGGGGGCCAGGACTCCTGCTGTCCATCTCCGACCTCCTGCCAGGCTGGTATATTTCACACCGCTTTACAAAACACACTGTGCTACTCTACACAACGACAGCACATCCCTCCACACACACTGCACTACACATGTGTGACGAAGTGGGACTGTTCTGAAGGTTTCCTCTGAATACTAATAAATTTGTTAGTCTCTAAGGTGCCACAAGTACTCCTGTTCTTTTTGGGATACAGACTAACACGGCTGCTACTCTGAAACCTCTGAATACTGTGTGGGTGCCTCAGTTTCCCCTATGCATTTCTTAAGTCTCTAGGTGGTGGAGAAAGGCCAGTGTGCATAAATCACTGACACTCTGTCTCCCTGGCAACAAATGGCCAGGGCCCCTTCCCCCCCTGCAAGGAAATAGCTAAAGGTGAACAAAGAGATCAGGTGACCTCCTGGCTCAGGAAAGAGACAAAGCCAAGAGAAGGAGGGGGTTTGGGAGTTGGAGCTACCTGGGGATGAGGAGTGAGGGCAGACGTGGGTGTCTGGCTCTCTGAACCCCATAATGGACCCGGCCGAGGGGTCCCGTTGCTGCTGTACCTACAAGTTCTGTTTTAGACCATGTTCCTGTCATCTAATGAACCTCTGTTTTACTGGCTGGCTGAGAGTCCCGTCTGACTGCGAAGTGGGGGGTGCAAAACCCTTTGGCTTCCCCAGGACCCCGCCTGGGCGGACTCGCTGTGGGAAGTGCACGGAGGGGCATATGCTGAATTCTCCCAGGAGAGACCCAGGAGGTGAAGCCGTGTGAGCTTCTTGCCCTGAGCACAGTCTGCTCCAAGGGAGAGGAGGCTCCCCAAAGTCCTGACTGGCTCTGTGGGGAGCAGTTCCAGAGCATTGCCCAGGGACTCCGTGACAACTGGTGGCAGCGGTGGAATGTACAGCACCCTGTGAATGGCGCTTCTTGCAGTAAGTGACTGGGGAGCAGTAAAACAGAGGGGGGATGGTTTCAGGGGGCGATTAACCCCTAGGAGTGTGTGACCAGCGAGAAGGACTGTTGGAGTAACGGGGTCCCCCTGAGGACTGCAGCGAGCAGGGAGGAGCTTGCCGCTCGACCCTAGGAGAGAGAAGGACATTTGCAGTAACAAGGTTCCCCGGGGATTGCAGCGAGCGGTCCCAGGGGCGGAGGAGTCTGAAGCTCGACCCTGGCAAAGAGGTGGTGACCACGAGAATGGCTGGCACACTAGGGGTTCTTCCTCAAAACCGTGGGGGAGCTGAGAGCACACGGGCCTCTGAGTCCAAAGCAACTTGGGAACAGTGAAGTGATGGCCTATCACCATCTCCTCAAGAAGGACATTGTGATCCTGTGCAAAAAGAGAGGGTTACGCATTGGGAAGTTCACCAAGGACCAGTCAATCGTGCAGCTGGAGGATGAGGACCGCTCTAAGGAGCAGATTCCTGACCCAGACGGGGCTACAAGAGGATCTGGGAGCAGCTGGAGTGGTAGCCAGGCATCCCCAAGAGTCTGGTCCCCAACCAGACGGGGGTCTTCATGATCAGGTTCTCCATCAGGGGATCGGAGACGGATGGGACTGGAGCTGAGTCCGAGAGAGCGAGAGGACCGTGAGAGAGAGAGAGAGCAAGAACCCGAGGAAAAGGTGCAGGAAAAGCAACAGCAGCGTGGACTGGCAATGGTGGAGCAGAGAGGCATAGGGGGCTCCCCAGGGGTGAGTGGGGATAGACCCCGGGCTGCCAGTTCCGCAGGGAGCCTCGACACTAAATTGCTGCCCCTGGTTAAGGAGGGGTGGGGATGTGGATGCCCACCACACTGCCTTCGAGCAGGCTGGGGATTTGAACCAGGGGGACCCTGTGGAAAAGCCCCGGTATCTAGCCCCCTTGCTGGGTCCCAAGGCCATAAATGCTGTCAGCCAGATGGGTGGGGTGGTGGACAGGCTCCCACTCCTGGCCCCGGCCTATATGTCTGCGTGGAGTCTCCTGGGCTCAGGCCCCTCGGACCCCCAGTGGGAGCGGAAGGTGGGGGTCAATGGGGGAGACCTGCCTGGGATGGTGAGACCCTGGGACAGAGAGAACTGTTGTCGGGCCCCGGGTGGTGCAGCCGCAGATACTGAGGGGCTGTGAGACCTGGGTGAAGGTCCCCAGGATGAAGGCCCTCGCCCTGTCTATGGCCCGGATCCCTGTGCAGACCCAGGAGGGGTTGGGCTGGCTGGCCATTGGGGTTCTCCAGGATATCGGCTGTGAGGCCCTGTTGGGGGGTGACTGGGTCTCTTTGGGACAAGATCCAGGCCCTGCCCCTGTAACGGCCAAGGATTTGAATTTGAATCCCGCTAACCAATTGGCTAAGAGGGAAATGGTCAGTTGAAAATGCAAATGACCTGGCTGGCAGGAGTGAGGGGCTGCTGGGCTCAGAATACCTGCCTACCTGTAACCAGACCCCTGGGGCTGAGTGGGAGGGAGAGATGCTCCCCGCCCCCATGCACACTGGAGAGGGGGCTTATGCTGGCTCTGATGCTGTGACCAGAGCAGAGAGCTCACTGCCTGCCCCCACTGTGACAAGGACAGTGCTGGGCACGGTGGGAGCTGAGACCCCAGCTGAGTAGGGGGACACACAGGCAGGGCAGGTTGGCTACCAACCAGGTTTGCCTGGTCCAGATGTGCTGCTGGGAAGTGATTACACAGTAGGGAGGGAGCTACCAGGGACAGGGCTCAGAGGGGCTGTGACCCCAGGCCCAGCCAGCGAGAGGGAACAAGTCCCACTCCCTTCCCCGCCAGCTGAATTCCAGACCGAGCTGCAGAAGGATCCCTCCTTGGAGAAGCTGAGGGAACTTGCTGGCCACAGCGCTGCAAACCCCCTTGGGGAAGTCTGCAGGGACATAGTCCTGTGGGAGAAGGGATTCCTGTATCGGGAATGGGCTCCCCAAGGGGAAGTAGAACTGTGGGGAATTGGGAGGCAGTTGGTGGTGCCCCAGGAATCCACAGGGTTCTTCCCTTTCGAGCTGCTGTATGGGAGGAGAAGGGGGAAGACCCCTGGGTGGATCTCTTCCCTGAGGTGGGAGCTAATTTCCCCATCAGGTGTTCCCTGTTCAGTCACTGGGAAAGCAGCCCAGAACCTGGAGAGAGAGGTCAAGGACATGCTGGCTTTAGATGTGATCCAGCCGTTCAACAGCCCATGGGCCTTACCCGTGGGGCTGGTCCCCAAGGGAGACAGGATGATCTGGTTTTGTGGGGACTATCGGAAGCTTAAAGCCATCACCGTGTCCAATACCTACCCCACACCTAGGCCTGGGGAGATTCTAGACAAGCTGTGGGAGATGGAGAATGTGGCCCTGGCGTACGTCAATGACATGTGTGTCTTTAGCCAGACCTGGGAGGAACAGGTGTCCCAGGTGAAGCGGGTGCTGGGCTGCCTCAAGGAGGCAGGACTGACGGTAAAAGCTGAGAAGTGCAAGGTGGAGATGATCAGAGATTGGCCCATTCCCCAGACCAAGAAACAAGTCCAGGCCTTTATCAGGATGGTGGGGTGCTACCAGAGGTTTGTACCCCACGTTAGATCCCTAGCTGCTCCCATCCCTGAGCTATGTGAGAGGGGTAAGCCAAACTGGAGCGCTGGGAAAAGACCCAATCTCAATTTAGACCCCAGGGGTATTGGGGTGGCAAAAGGGTACAGGCCACATAAACCTTCCCACATGCAAGCGCCATCAAGCACAACATACCCACGGGTGGGTCTGAAACTGGAATGTCCTGGTGTAACTCCCACCAAGGAATGGGAGAGATGATGGGGCATCCATGGAAACGTTGGTGGGTTTGAACTTCCCAAGGTCACTGGCTAAAGTGACCTCGCTCAGTTCAGTCTCGAAGGAGGGAGAGATGTGACAAAGTAGGACTATTCTTAATGTTTCCTCTGAATATTGTGTGGGTGCCTCAGTTTCCCCTATGCATTTCTTAAGTCTCTAGGTGGTGGGGAAAGGCCAGTGTGCATAAATCACTGACACTCTGTCTCCCTGGCAACAAATGGCCAGGGCCCCTTCCCCCCCTGCAAGGAAATAGCTAAAGGTGAACAAAGAGATCAGGTGACCTCCTGGCTCAGGAAAGAGACAAAGCCAAGAGAAGGAGGGGCTGGAGGGGGTTTGGGAGTTGGAGCTACCTGGGGATTAGGAGTGAGAGCAGACATGGATGTCTGGCTCTCTGAACCCCATAATGGACCCAGCCGAGGGGTCCCGTTGCTGCTGTACCTACAAGTTCTGTTTTAGACCGTGTTCCTGTCATCTAATGAACCTCTGTTTTACTGGCTGGCTGAGAGTCACGTCTGACTGCGAAGTGAGGGGTTCAGAACCCTTTGGCTTCCCCAGGACCCCGCCTGGGGAAGCACACGGAGGGGCATATGCTGAATGCTCCCAGGAGAGACCCACGAGGTGAAGCCATGTGAGCTTCTTGCCCTGAAGACAGTCTGCTCCAAGGGAGAGGAGGCTCCCCAGGCCGGATGTGGCACACGGACCGGATTTGTTTGTCCAACTCCCGGCCCTTTAACTGTCGGTTCTCCGCCGGCGTCTAATTTTAGCAACAGGTTCTTGCGAACTGGTGCGAACCGGCTCCAGCTCACCACTGCACTGCTCCACAACATGCATTCTATTACACAACACAACATGCACTCCACTGCACAAGAGCACACTGATCGACAACACAACACACCGCTGCACAACATGCACTCTACTACACTACAAAACACAACACTCCCCAACATGCACTTCACTGCACTACGGTACACACTCTACTACACAACACGCACTCTAATACACTTCACAACAATACACTGCTCCACAACACAGCAACATACTGCTCCAAAACATGCACCCTACTCCACTCCACAACACACCACTTCAGAACATGCACTCCACTACAACACACTGCTCCACAACATGAACTTTACTACACAACACAGCACACTGCTCCACAACAACATTCTACTACATACCAACACCCTGCTGCATAGTCACACACTCTACCACACTACACACCAACACACACCGACCCGAGACAGCCCCTGCCTCCCTTACCTTGGGTCCCCTCGCAGAGCAGTGCCAGGGCCCAGGCCAGGACACATGTGGCTGCGGGTGAAGCCATTGTCCCGTCCACACTGCTCCAGCCCTGGAGCCCCAGCCCCATATATACAGCCTCCCTTGGGGCTCCTCCCCTTGGCCACCCCCTAGAGGATTTCCTGCTCGACAGATGGCTTGCCACCGCACCACCCTGCCACACCCATGGCAAATCATGAACCCTCTGCTTCCTGAAACCTGAGCTCCCTGGGTGCCAGAACCTGTCCCACCCTCCCGGCTTTGGAGCCCTCCACACACCTCACTCCTTGGTCATGACTGTTGTAGCCCAGAGGTCCAGCTTACCTCGGCTTTGCATTATATTCTGCTTGATTATATCCAGCAGTATATAGACAGGCTTGGCTCCTGTAAGCCATTGGCTTCAGCAGCTAGCATGAGGCTTGAGGCCTTTGGCATAGATAAACGTAGGTAATGGATAAATTTTGGGGAACTGGAAGAATGTAAGGGGGGATAATGACATCAGCCAACCACAGAAACTTGAAATGACACCAGCTTCTGGGAGGTTTTGGACAGAACATCCGACCACAAGATTGCCATGAGAGGGGAGATTGCCACCCCAGAAACCCGGCCAGACTGGGGTCAGCTGCCCCTGAGCCACTTGCTCCCCTCCCCTTGGGGTGTACCTGGATCCATGGGGGTCCTCCATCTCCTCAGGGTAGAAGGCCAGTGGCAGGCCCAGGGACTCCTCGGTGCCTTGGTCAGCAAGTGGCTCCAGCAGCTCTGGCCAGTCCTCGGCTTGGCGGGGTTCTGCTATGCAGCACAGTTTCCCCTAGCACCCCCTGGGGCACTGGGGCCAGCACTGACTGCTGGGGAGAGCGCCCCTACTGAGTCCCCACCCCCTCCCTATGAGCACAACGCCTCATATTACATACGTTATGGACTGAAATTGGAGAGAGTCCAGCGGAGGGCAACAAAAACGATTAGGGGGCTGGGGGACATGACTTATGTGCAGTGGTGAACTGGAGCCGGTTCACAAGAACCGGTTGCTAAAATTAGACGCCGGTGGAGAACCAGCAATTAAAGGGTCGGGGGTTGGACAAACAACTCCGGTCCGTGTGCCACGTCCGGCCTGCGGGACCGTCCTGTCTCCCACCTAAGCTCCCAGGAGTCCTAGCTGGGACCTCCCCCGGCCCCTCCCCTGCTTCCCCCCCGCCCCCAGAGCTGCAGCATGCCTAGCCGCCGGCAGCTCAGCTCCCCAGATCCCGCTTTGAGCAGCCGCTAGCAAGGTAAGGGGGCGGGGGGGGGGGCTGCGAGCTCCAGGGCCGAGGGGGGGCAAGTGGGGCAATTTGCCCGGGCCCCGCAGGGGCCCCCACAAGAAGCTCTGAGGCTCCCCCCGGCCCCGCCTTCCCCCCTACCTAACTCCCCCATTCCCTGTCCCCGACCGCCCCCAGAACCTCTGGCCCATCCAAGCCCCCCCTCCCTGTTCCCGGGACTCCCTGCCCCTGCCCCTTATCCAAACCCCCTGGCCCTGGCCTCTTACCATGCTGCCTACCCCCGCCTGCCCCCTCTCCCGGAGTGGCCCTGGACAGCTCTGCAGTGGCGTGGTGGCTCCAGCAGGACCTGAGCTCCCGCCTCTCAGAGCCATGTGGTAAGGCCGTGGCGGGGCTGCGAGCTCCGGGCCGAGTGGCGGGAGCTCAGGCCCCGCTGGAGCCACCACACCGCTGCAGCGCAGTCCAGGGCCGCTCCTGGATGCGGTATGCTATGGCTCCGGGAGAGGGGGCAGGTGGGGGTAAGCAGCATAGCAGGGGGCCGGGGCCGGTTGGATAAGGGGCAGGGTGTCTCAGGGACAGGAAGTTGGGGGGGAGTTGGATGGGGAAGAGGTTCTGGGGCGGCGATTAGGGGACTGGAAAGGGGGGGGATTGGATAGGCATGGGAGTTCCGGGGGTCTGTCGGGGTGGTGGTGGATGGGGTTAGGGCAGTCAGGGGACAGGGAGCAGGGCGAGTTGGGTAAGGGGTGGGGTCCTGGATGGCAGTTAGGGTGGGTGGTCTCGGGAAGGAGTGGTCAGGGGACAAGGAGGGGGCATTGATGGGTTGCGGGTTCTGAGGGGGGCAGTCAGGGGCAGGACATGGGTGGAGGTTAGGGGGGGGGGTGTACTCATTGGACGGTTCCCTACCAGGTCTTCAGCGGTGGGTCCTTCACTTGCTCTGGCACTGAAGGACCCGCCGCCACTGTGCCGTCGAAGACCCGGTAGGGAACCGGTTCCTAAGATTTTGGCAGCTCATCACTGCTTATGAGGAGAGGCTGAGGGAACTGGGGTTATTTAGTCTGCACAAGAGAAGAGTGAGGGGGGGATTTGATAGCAGCCTTCAACTACCTGAAGGGGGGGAGGTGTTCCAAAGAGGATGGAGCTCAGCTGTTCTCAGTGGTGGTAGAGGTGGTCCGGTGCCAAGATAGGGATATGCGTTCCATCTATCGCCCCACCACAGTTAGGGAACCCCATTGCAGCAAAGCCGTCCACTATGACCTGCACATTTCCCAGCATCACTACCCTTGTTAGCAGAAAGTCAGTGATTACATTGGCTACTTGGATCACAGCAGCCCCCACAGTAGATTTGCCCACTCCAAATTGATTCCCGACTGACCGGTAGCAATCAGGTGTTGCAAGCGCCCACAGGGCTGTCACCACTCACTTCTCAACTGTCAGGACAGCTCTCATCTTGGTATTCCTGCGCTTCAGGGTGGGGGAAAGCAACTCACAAAGTTCCAGGAAAGTGGTCTTACGCAAGCGAAAGTTTCGCAGCCACTGGGAATCATCCCATACCTGCCACAGTATGTGGTCCCACCAGTCTGTGCTTGTTTCCCGGGCCCAGAATCGGCATTCCACTGTATCAACCTGCCCCAGTGCCGCCATGATGTCCCAATTGCCACATCCCATGCAGGGGCGGCTCCAGGCACAAGCACACGAAGCGCGTGCCTGGGGCAGCAAGCCGCAGGGGGCGGCCTGCTGGTTGCGGTGAGGGCAGCAGTCAGGGAGCCTTCGGTGGTGTGCCTGCGGGAGGTCCGCCGGTCCCACGGCTTTGGCGGCAATTCGGTGGCGGGTACGCCGAATCCGCGGGACCGGCGGACCTCCCGCAGGCATGCCACCGAATCTGTGTTACCAGCCAGACCTCCCACAGGTGTGCCGCCGAAAGCCGCCTGACTGCCGTGCTTGGGACGGCAAAATACATAGAGCCGTCCCTGATCCCATGCTTTCAGGAACATCTGTGTCCATGTCCTCCTCACAATTGTCCTCGTGCTGGCGTCTCCTAGCCAAGTTCTGCACATATTCAGGATAATGCGCGAGGTGTTCACAATGCTCACAACAGCAGGGTGAGCTGAGCGGGCTCCATGCTTGCCATGCTATGGCATCTGCACGGGTAACCCAGGAAAAAAGGCACAAAACGATTGTCTGCCATTACTTTCATGGAGGGAGGGGAGATGACGACATGTACTCAAAACCACCCGCGACAATGTTTTTGCCCCATCAGGCATTGGGAGCTAAACCCAGAATTCCAATGGGCAGCCGTGACTGCGGCGACTGTGGGATAGCTACCCACAATGCACTGCTCCTTGAGTCGATGTTAGCCACAGTATTGAGGACACACTCCACTGACTTAATGCTCTTAGTGGGGACATACACAATCGACTGTATAAAATCTCTTTCTAAAGATCAACTTCTATAAAATCAACCTAATTTCATAGTGTAGACATACCCTTAGAAAAGGAAGTCATTCAGGAACACTTAAACTATGGATTGGCTCCACGCAATCTATCAGGTTTTAAGGCAATATGAAAATTCTCCACGGCCCATGTACATTTATGCTGACAGTCATTTTTGTGTAAAGGGAATACAGTTTTGGATACATGATTGGTATAGGAATGGGTAAAAAGCAGCAAATAAAAATAATATTGCATATTCAAAAAAATGAAAATAAATTTACCAGTGGGTAACCCTAAACAGTTAAAGGTGCGACCTGTAAAGGCACACAGTAAAGGAACGGGCAGGGCGGCCACCTGGAATAATCAGGTAGATACAATAGCCCGACAGCATGACATAGCAGTTGTAACTAGAAATCAGAAAAGAAATGTCTGTGATGACACATCTGAGCCAACAAATGGCACTACAGATCATCCTATTGGAGTTCCAAGAAAAATAGAGACAAGAGTTACTTCATGTAGCCCATCAGTTTATGCATAAAAAAATAAAAGGAACTTTAAAAAGGCTAAAGCAAGTAGCAAAATAAAAGTGTATAAAAATAATGATTAAACATGGGTGCAAAATTGTGTGCGGTGTGCTCAAAACAAGGCTCGTACTCCACACCGGCAACTCATAATGCACCACTGAAGGCTTGTTCCATGGCACAGGGTTCAAACTGATGTTATTAATAAATTGCCAGGAAATAAAAAAGAATTCCAGTATTTATTGGTGATAATTGATTCCTTTTCAGAATGGGTGGAGGCATTTCCTACTAAAAATAATAGCACCAGGGTAGTGGCCAAAAAGTTTTTTAATGTAAATATGGCACCCCTGAAATAATAAATTCTGACAATGGGGGAGCCTTTGTAAAAATAATTTTTACCACAATGATGGAAGTCTTAAAAATTAAAGAAAAGTTCCATATACCAGACCGGCCTCAGTCCGCAGGCCAAGTGAAGCACATGAACTGCACTGTTAAGGAAGCACTCCAAAAAATAATAAATCACACACACACACACACAAACTGGCTGGTTAAACTGCCTCTGATTCTGGCTGCCGTCCACAGCAGTAATACACTAAGGACGAAAATTTAACCCTTCTAAATTCTGTTTGAACATTCAATGCACCTAATAATTGATCCTAATGACTTGGCACAGGATCCGAAAAAAGCCCTAATGTAATCCAGCATAATTATTTTCAATGGCTCAAACAATTACAAAAAAATAAAACCATCCTCCAGGATAGGGTTAATCAAGCCATCAAACACATAAACAACAAAATTCAAAAACAAAGGCCCACAAAGGCAGCCCTGTGGAATCATAGAATCAGAGACTAACATAACTAATGATGTTTAAATTCTTTGCAGAAAAGGACATCCTGAGCACGAATCGCTGCTCAACCACCACAATTTTAATCCACAGAAAATGAGACTCCAATGTAAGGTTTGGCTTTACCTGCTTCTGGGAACTTTTACTGCCCAAATAATTAGAACAATCATGGGAGAAGATGCAGCCCTCCTTATAAGCCAATATTTAAAAAATAATTCCCTCCCCACCAACCAATCATGAATTCCTACCTGTGATCCAGTAATCCTCATAAAATAGTGTAATAAAAATACTAGAAAAAAGAACAGGAGTACTTGTGGCACCTTAGAGACTAACAAATTTATTTCAGCATAAGCTTTCGTGGGCTACAGCTCGCCACAAGTACGCCTGTTCTTTTTGCGGATACAGACTAACATGGCTGCTACTTTGAAACCTAAAAATACCAATCTGTATGTCTGGGAAGGGGACGTTGGACTTCAGGTTCACCTTATAAACACCACAAAAATACCAAACCACTGGGGAATAGGGGTTAAAATAAAAAGTCCCTCTGGGGATACCACCTAAAGTTCCAGCTACTCACAATTACCATATCAGTAAAATAAGCCTGTTAAAACACAAACAATACTAACAGTTATTCTAAAGTATTGTCCAATACCCCGTAGTAAATTAAAACCTAAAAGTTCACCCTACTCCCTTCCTATTATAACGGCCTAAATAAAAACACATCAAGA